CTAATGTTAGAACCTGAATTTTGGAGATTAGAATAAAAACTGAAACATCAAACTGGACCGCTTAAACTGTTGAATCATTTGATGAATATGAACGTTGGGTTTTACAGCTGATTTGATGTTTTAAAACAGATCTGCTAATTCCAGTTGTGCTTCCTCTGTCAGGTCACTTCTGTGCACACAACAAAGTGTGTCTGATGAATGACTTTAACACACCGACATAAAAACAAGATTAAAACAGATAACAGCAGTAACTTTACTGTTGTGTTTGATTAGTCATAAGAACCTGTTTCAACCTCACAGGAGTGATCTTCAAGGCTTCATCATCATGCAAAGAATGTAAGTCAAACATTTATAGTTACAGTTTATGTAAATCTGTACTTAACTATTGATTAAAAAAACATATTTAACATGTTTCCAATCACTTTATCATTTATGCATAGTAAAAGGAGAGTAAAGAGTTTTTTAAGATGAAGAGAAACGTTATAACTTAACTGAAGATATAGTTTTAAAAAGGACAAATGTCTGTATGTTATAAGGTCACAGATTCTCATCCAGAGACTTTTCCAGTATGTTTCTTTCAGGATGAAACAGATAAAAGCACTGAATGGAAGTACCAGTGAAAAACCTGGAGGAAACATCATATTAATGTTCATTAATATGAACATTATTTACTTTTCAGAATAATTGTTTCCATTTTTATTCCGGTCTGGGTACTCAGAACATGAGAATGGAAACTCTTCTCTTCATAATCAACAGCTCTTCCGAACCCAATCAGTCCAAGCAATGGCTACCTGGATGTGACACATATTTAAAAAATAAGCATGATATGTACCATTCATTATTAATACTAACTATGTTAATACTTTAGCATTGTACATCATCATACAATGACAATATATTACCCAAATTGCATATTTTGATTTGGCTCTTATAATATTAATTTAAAAAGGCATTTAGGAATTTAAGCTAGTAAATTATAAATTTTTTCAACAGGAATACATCATCTAAATTCAAGGACATCATCTCAAAAAGTCTCCAGATCCAGTCAGGATCCCCATCCGTTTTCCAACTCAGCACAAAGAAAGAGGACTTTGGGCCTCTGACTAGGATAACTCTCGGACAGAAAAACTTGAACAAGGCCAACAGAACGGTGCTGCTGGTTGGTGAAACAGGAGCAGGAAAGTCTACTGTCATCAATGCTCTGGTCAACCACACCATGGGAGTGAAGTTTGAGGATGAGGTCTGGTTTAAGATTGTAGAAGATGAGAAGAGAGGGCAGACTGAAAGTCAGACATCAGATGTGATTGTTTACGAGATCTTTGGGTTTGAAGATCAAACTCTGCCGTTCTCTTTGACCATCATTGATACGCCTGGATTTGGAGACACCAGAGGGATTGAAAAAGATCTTATTGTCAGCCAAAGATTGTTTGAGTTGTTTAGATCAGATGAGGGAATTCAGGAGATTCACGCTGTGGGTCTGGTGGTGAAGGCCACAGATAATCGAGTGAATGATCGCCTTTCATACGTCTTCAATTCAGTCATGTCTCTGTTTGGGAAAAACCTGGAGAAAAGCATTGTGGCTCTCATAACTCACTCAGATGGAAGACAACCTAAAAATGTTCTTCAAGCTCTTGAAGCTACAAAAATAAGATGTGCCAAAAATGAGAAGAATCAACCTATTTATTTTCTTTTTGACAACTCCCAAAGTGATGACCGATCAAGGAAACTGAATTTATAAAAATTGCTACTGAAATTTCAGAGAGAGGACTGAGAACCTTTACGGCCTTCTTGGAGAAGAAAACAGCCCAAAAACTGATGGCGACTACAGATGTCCTGAATGAACGCATCAGCCTGACAGCCTGTATCCAAAACCTGCAGGAGAGAATCCTGCTAATAGAGAGGAAACAAGAGGAACTCAAACAAACTCATGAAGCTCTCATCAAGCAAGTAGAAGACATGAATAAATCAGAGACATTCACTGTTGAAGTTGATGTTGTTTTCAAAGAAAAGGAGCCTCTGAAAAGTCTAAGACTTTTCAGGCAAAATATTTTTGAGAAAGCAATGGTCTGCACCATCTGTAAGGAGAACTGCCACTATCCTGGCTGTACACTTGTTCGCAGTCCCCAACACTGTGAGGTCATTAGAAGAGGGCATTGCACTGTCTGTACTGGTAAATGTCCTGCATCGGCTCATGTGAAGGAAAACTGGAGATATGTCATCAAGACCAAGAAGGTTAAGAAGACTGTAGGAGTTAAGAAAGAGATAAAGACAGAGAAGGGTGATGTTGAGAAGAACTTTAATATTGTCAAAGGTCTTGTAAATGAAATACAGAAACTGAGATCAGAGAAGTTCCAGCTCATCGATGAAGCGTACCAACATGTTATGAAACTGGAGGAGATTGCCCTCAAAGTTAATGCTGTGACCACTTTGGTTCACTTGGATTTCTTGATTGCAAAGATGAAGGAGAAAGGAGACATGAAGAAAGTTCAGAAACTGGATGAGATGAGGACCCAAATGGATGAAGGAACCAAATTAGCACTGCAGTATTTGTGGGGCAGAGTAACAAGCGTGTAAAGAAGTGAAGAACAAACCTGTTTAACAAGAAAGTGTCATGAGGTGCATGACCTCTGAAGGCTGTACTTCATGAAACTGTGATCAGGTTTTTAATAAAGGAATTTAACAAAGTATTTTGATAAGGGCAAAGTGATTTAATTATTTAAGATAATAAATTGCGTTATCATTTGTTCAACTATTATTTAATCTTTGTGGTAACTTGAAAATATGATGCAAAATATCAGAGAAACCACAACAATTAACCAGACTGCATTTCTTGTTTCTTGTGATGAGAAGCGAGAGTAACAAGGAGCAAACCAATATGTTATGACAAAAATGAGGATGTATCATAATGATAAAATTGCAAACTTGATAAATTAGCATTATGTTGGGACCTGTTAGTTTTTGCAATCTTTTCCACTATTCCAATAAAAGTTTGTATAAATGTAAATGTATTCAGAAAGATGGTATGTGCAGCTATGTTCAACAGTAATTACACTACTCTTGGTAACCCGTGTATTATATTTAACAATGGGTAGGTTAGTGTTGGTATTGTTCTGACTGTAGAACAATCTATAGGAAAAACACTTAATTTTAAATGTTTTGACACCATTTTGATGCATTAAAATGTTCATATAATTCAAAGCATAGATCGAAAATATTGAAAATTGTTTTTGTTTTACCTTCTTAAGTATTTTCTTGAACTAAACAGAATTAGTTCAGTTGAAATTCAGATGTTCTCCAAAACAATTTGCCTTAAAAGTACAAGTTGACTGTGTGCAGTGTTGACTAGTATAATACATCAGTTTTAGCTGTAAAATAGACCAGAAATGCTGTCTAAGTTTAGCTCAATATTTTGGACCATTAACACTTTTTTTATTTCCTTTGTGACATATTTGTAAATGAGGTTGTGGTTGACTGTATATATCCTGAGACACTGCAGTTAATGCATAAAATTATCAGTCTTCTGTGAATGAAATGTTTGATAAAAACAGTGTGGTCCGTGTGTTTATTAGATCTGACTCAAACCAGTGATGGAATCTGTACAGACACTTATATCTGTTTAAATTCAGACTCATTGTGAAAATGTAATATTAAAGTTGACAGAAACTTTCTAAATTAGACTGGAAATATTCTCTGCAACTTCATACTCTACCAGTGTGTTTTGGACTATGAGTCTTTAAAGATAGTCTGCTGGTAACAACAGGAATCTGGAGTCTTGCCTTTAGTCCCTTCAACCCTTCATCAGAGCAGGAACAAGTTTGATTTGCTACATTTTTTCCTTCTATATACTCATTTTGATATTGGACACCTAGTATGTGAGACATTACCATCTCAGATTTGCCTTTGTGCAAATCTTAATGCAGCAGAATAATATCCATTATTATTCTGCTGCATTTAAATTCTATTTATTTTTTGTTTGAACAAATACAAATATCTACTGGTGTATCTGACATAAAGCGTAATAATAAACTGACCTAAACATAGGAGATGGTTTTCATGCTTATGTTTTATGTTCCAGTAAACCTCCAAGCAAGGTGAGTGACTCAAAGTGCCCACCGTCATCTTCTACCTCACCGGCTCGTACACCTGCTCCTCTGCCTCGAACTAAACTGAGAGCAGAACCTCCCTCTCTAGACATCAGCAGTGCAGCAGCGAGGTACGTAAGGAGGAATCTTCCCTGAAGCTAATCTTTAAAACATCCACGACAAACACTGTTAGCAGTGTTTGTTAGCACTACTAACACCTGTAACCTTATTATTCGAGCTGTGTATCCACCACATGGCAAATGAATCACATATTTGCAAAGCTGAAAAATGGCATCAATCAATGATTGCTACAATCACACTCACTATTCCAACTACTGACTCACCACCGGGTGGCGCTCTGTGTCTGAATAAGATGGTTTTATACCTGACAGCTTGGCTATGACAAAACTATCAACCTTTTCCACTGTAACCAATCAGAAAATTCAACTGCTTAGGTACTATTGCCCTAAGAAGGGCATCACTAAGATAGCAAAAATATTTCAGAACTAAATTAATTTACATGAAAATACCTAAATTCACTCAAACATAAAAATAGAACCCTACATAACCTATTTATACAGTTTATCAATAAAAACACAATTTAGTTTATAAAGGACATGATGCAAAGGACAAGTGGAAAAAACCTGCAATCACTCTGAAGGTATTGCTGATTATATTTTAGATTAATATTCCTTCAGTGGTTTTGATTCCATCCAAGCTGCTATTGTAAATTATCGTACTTCCTAGATTTAAGATGCCCATATACTGAAGTCAGTGAGTCTTAAATGTTTCTAAGGCTTAAGTATAAGCGTGATAAATATTCAATATTGCTACTTTTAACAAGGATGAAATCAGTATGTAAGTTGTCAAAATGGTTTGAGTAAATTTGTTCCTCTCCTAGGAATTCCCTACGGACACCATGATCTCCAAAAGTACTCTGATTCGACCAGGAAATCCATCCGTTTACCAGCTGAGGCCAAAAAAGGAAATATCTGCAAAGCTGACAAAACTGACAGTTGGTGAAAAAGATGGATGCAAGAGACATAAAACAATCCTATTGGTTGGTGAAACAGGAGCAGGAAAATCCACTTTCATCAATGCGCTGGTCAATTTCACCATGGGAGTGAAGTTTCAGGATGAGGTTTGGCTTCAAATCGTGGAGGAGGTGGACCATGAAACATCTGAAGTGACTGTCTATGAAATATTTGGTTTTGAAGGTAAAGCCATGCCCTACTCTTTGAGCATTATCGATACTCCAGGATTTGGAAGCACCAGAGGGATAGAACATGATGTTAACATCAGTCAGCGGTTATTTGACTTGTTTCAATCAGTGGATGGTGTTCATGCAATTCATGGAGTGGGTCTGGTAATGAAAGCAAGCGATAATCGTCTCAGTGACCGACTGATGTATATCTTGAATTCCATCATGTCGCTTTTTGGAAAAAACATAGAAGACAACATCGTAGCGCTCATCACTCACTCAATGGAAGACACAATGAACGTCATTCAAGCTCTTGAAGTTTCAACCATTAAGTGTGCCAAAGATGAGAAGAAGCAGCCTGTCTACTTCTTGTTTAATAACTGTCAGAGCGAAGACCGGGACGAAGTCGCAGAATACCTGGAAGGGGCCAACAAGATAACAGAGAAAGGACTGACAGAGTTCACTGCCTTTCTGGAAAAGGCGCGACCTCAAAATGTGAAGGCAACTGCTGTTGTTATAAAGGAACGCAGCGAACTGACAGCCTGCATTCAAAATCTGCAGCAAAGAATAATTGAAACTGAACACAAACAGGAGCAAATCAGACAGATTCAACGTGACCTGATGAAATATAAGAAAGAGATGAAAGAGAATGAAAATTTTACTATAGAAATAGAGGAGTCCTACAAAGTCAAAGAACCTATAAATGCCAGAAACTGGTTTAAAGGTGGTTCTTTTGAAGGAGCAATGTGCTGTACTCGCTGTGAGGAGAACTGTCACTATCCTGGATGCAAACTGGCCCCAAGTCCTGCCTTCTGTGATGTCATCAAAGATGGCCACTGCATCGTTTGTAGTGGAAGTGTCCCACATCTGATCATGTGAAAGAAAATTGGAGATATGTGACCAAGACAAGAAATGTTAAGGTGACTCTGAAAGAAATCAAGCAAAAGTATGAAAACAGTAAAACTGAAAGAGAGAAAAACTTGAGTTACTTAGAAGGTCTGGAGACAAAAATTAAACATCTGACTGCAAAGAAAGATGAGCTGCTGGATGAGTCCTACAAGCATGTGGTCAAACTAGAGAAGATTGCTCTGAAAGTTGATTCAGCATCTACTTTAGTCCAGCTGGACTTTCTGATTGAGAAGATGAAAGAGAAAGGAGACAGGAAAGTCCAGAAACTAGAACGAATTAAAAGAAACATGGATGAAGGAAGCAGAGCAGCTTTGCAATACCAGCATGTTGCAGAGAATCAGCTGGAGACGCAACAATAAAGTCATTATTCTGACTTCACTGATTAAATCTTTGATGTTACTTTTTTCATGTAATACAAAATAAATTTATCATCAAACAAAGAGTGGAGGAGGGAAAATCTTGCTCATTGCTACATAATTCCTTATGAAACATCAGAAAGGGTCTCAATTACAGGAATACAGAAAACATGAATGGTCTGGTTTATGAAAGATGTGATGAAACAAACTATAATTAATGGTGGAGGTTATTGTAGGAACAATTGTGTTTATATGCAGTTTCATTTCCACCCACACAGGTGGAGAGTGGTTCATTAAACTGTTTTAGGTAGAAAACATGTTTAAGTGTTCACAACAGTATGACAACAGAAAAATAAAAACATTGTGAAACTCTTTCAAATAATCAGAATGTTCCAAAGGAATCTAAGACGCATAGCTATAAATGTATCCAGACTGCATGAATAAACTGTGAAGATGATTATTTCAAAAAGGCAATAAAGCATTTTTAACCTCATAATTGATTAAACAGATTCGAAAACAAGCATGTTTGTCTCCTGTTTTCTTTGATGCATCTTAGGGAAAATTATATTCTTGTTTTTTTAATCCTGCACTAATTTAGAAACTTTATGTCAGTGCTGCAGCTGACTGAAGTGTTCCTGTGAGAAATTGAAATAAATTCTCCAGGTGTTTGACTGCCGCATTTTGAAACAACAGGTAATAAAGTCCATGTTAGTGAGAAGCTGCAGTTCCTGCTAACATTAATATTGGACTAATTTTACTAACAGCCATTCTGAAGAAGAAAGCAGTCTTCTTCAGAGGAACAGCAAATTATTTCACATGTGAGAGGATCAATTCAAAATATCGATAATATTGATATCAAGTTGGGTCGGTACTAGCGTGGTAAGATCAATGCTTTAACTTTGAATGCTGTAAGTCAATGACTGTAATCTGCTGAGTTTCCGCAGATAGAATAACTGATCGAGTTTGCTACACTGATTGATAACCAGGATCAATTGGAATGTGTGTGTGATAGAATTTAAATGATCAAGGCCTTGAGAACACATTTGTTGTGAATTAGTACCATTCAGAGGGATTTTTAGACATTGCTCTAAAATGTCTAAAAATCCCAGGTACAAAACACAGGAATGAAATGGCTTCATTACCTCCTTGTTCTGCAGAGCCTTAATGACCTAATTATTGTAGTCAGGTGTTGCAGCAGAGGCTCATCTAAAGGTGGCAGGACAGCGGCCACCTTTAGATGAGCCGCTGTAATTGAGACCAGGATGTTGACACCCCTGGTCTAAATTATGTTCTAGGTTTCAAATTCACAGGAAAAACCACCAAAAGGTCAGAAGTTTCAGGACATATCAGACTTATACATGAAAACAGTCTTCATAAACTACCTTTTTAAAAAAAACAGACGTAGCACATGCGAATGCACTAAAATCCTTTAATTACAATATGAAAGGAATCTGCATTCCTTTCATATTGTAAGGAACCTGCATAATAGACATGCAGGAATTTATTGCTACCTTTTTATTGTAAAGGTAGCAATAAATTCCTACCTTTAGAAAGACTCTGAATTGGCGATACTGGCCCTGTCTTTACTTGGCATCAGATCAATACCAAAATATGCAACATCATACACCTCTTGCTTGTTTAATAAGTATTCAAAGAGTAGAAGCTGCTCAGTGTCAGTCAACTAGATAGACAAGTCTAGAAAGTTCAGGACGACAGAGAAAGTGTGGATAAAGAGCCAACAGAAGGAGATCATGGAAGGAATCCAACTCCAACCAAAGTCAACCTGGGCCTCAATACACCACTAACAGCAGATTACATGAAGCAGGAGAGGAGACAGGAGAGACATACCAGCCACAGAGGAGACTGAAATTAAAATATCTGATTGGAGGAGCAGTGAAAGGAGACAGGATACAAAGAAACAAGTAAATATCCTGAGAGATGACGATGAAAGAAACAGCTCATTGCGTTCTGGTACAAGAACACGCGAATGAAGACACAAATATCACTAAAGCACAAAGTATCTTATGTGCTTGAAGTACATAGACACACAACCAAGTTATTATCCCAGGTCCTTTTGTTATAAATGCTCATAGTCCATCAATCTATCCATCCATTTTCTATACATGCAGGGTTTTGTAAACCCTGAACAGGAAACTGCATTTTGAGTGTTGGGAATCAAACTTTAACTTGAAACAATGTAATTATTTCTGTTCTCCACTAGATGAAGTTGTTAAAAGTCAATGCTAGCAGCTGTCCACTACACTAGAGAAATGTATAAATGTGTGAGTGCAAATGGGTGAATGCTGTTCTAGTGTTCAGCTTTTTGAATGGTCAGTAGGTGGAAAATAACTATTTAAATCCAGTTCATTTTAAATACCTTAACCAACTATAGGATACTTATTGAATCAAATCAAAATCAAATCAAATTTTATTAGTATAGCACATTTCAGCAGCAAGGCATTTCAAAGTGCTTTACATCATAAACACAAGAACACAAAGTCATGCAACATATAATAGACAATACATTGTTACATATTACATTTCTAATCAAACTCTAATCAGCTGGTTTTTAGTTGAGATTTAAAGGAAGTCAGGGTTTCTGCTGTTTTACAGTTTTCTGGAAGTTTGTTCCAGATGTTTGGTGCATAGATGCTGAAAGCTGCTTCTCCTCTCTTGGTTCTGGTTCTGGGGATGCAGATCAGAACCAGAACCAGAACCTGAGAGTCTGGAAGGTTGATACAACAACAGCAGATCTTTGATGTATTGTGGTGCTAAACCGTTCAGTGATTATAAACTAACAACAGTATTTTAAAATCTATTCTTTGAGCTACAGGGAGCCAGTGGAGGGACTTTAAAACTGCTGTTATGTCTCTATCTTCCTGGTTCTAGTGAGAACAGGAGCAGCAGCTTCTGGATCAGCTGCAGCTGGAGGATTGATTTGTTGGACAGGCCTGTGAAGACGCTGTTACAATAATCAATGCGACTAAAGATAAACGCATGGATGAGTTTCTCTAGATCTGGCTGAGACATTAGTCCTCTAATCCTGGAGATGTTCTTCAGGTGATAGAAGGCCGACTTTGTAATTGTCTTTATGTGGCTCTGAAGGTTCAGGTCAGAGGTCATCACTACTCCCAGGTTTCAGGCTGATCGCTAGTTTTTAGTTGTAATAACTGAAGCTGTGCATTGACTTTAGATCGTTTCTCTTTAGGTCCAAAAATAATGACTTCAGTTTTATTTTTGTTCAGCTGGAGAAAGTTTTGGCACATCCACACATTTATCTGTTCTAAGCATTTATTCAGTAATTGGATGGGTTCAGAGTCACCTGGTGACATCATAATGTAGAGCTGTGTGTCATCCGCATAGTTACGGTAGCTAATATCATTTCCTGTTATAACCTGAGCTAGTGGGAGAATATAAATATTAAATAAGAGGGGTCCTAGGATTGAACCTTGGGGTACCCCACATGTGACCTTTGACCTCTTTGATCAGAAGTTTTCAATTGAAACAAAGAAATCCCTGTTCTTTATGTAGGATTCAAACCAGTCGAGCACCGAACCAGAGAGTCCAACCCAACTCTCAAGTCGATTCAATAATATGTCGTGGTCCACAGTGTTGAAGCACTAAAACTTGTCAGAACGTCCAACACTTATACAAAATAAAGACACAGAACATGTTGATGCACTTTTTCAATTGTTGTCTGTTTGATGACGTTATATTTTGTTTTTATATGAAGCACTTTGAACTGCCTTATTGCTGAAATGTGCTATACTGATAAACTTGATTTTATTTGATTTTTATAATCCTTTATCATAACAGCTACTTTTAAAAAACAGATGTAGTGCATGTTGACACTAAAATCCTTTAATTACAGTATGAAAGGGATTTGTATACCTGGGTAGCACATGTTGATGTAACAAATTCCTACCTCAGAAAAACTTACCACTTTAAAATGGTGACAAATTAAAAAACTGACAAATTAAAAAACATCACAACATCCTACCTTCATCAAAACACATGGCTTGGGTTACAGCTTCAGATCGACAACTTACCTGAATTTCTAACTTTAGGTTATTTTGTAAGAATGAAACAGTGTGTATAGTGAAACACACTCAGTGAATATAAATGAATACATTCACATGCTGATGGCGGTAAGCTACATTGTAGCCCACAACTTCCCTGGGTAGATTGCTAAATTAGGAAAAAACTAACATTTAATTGTTAATGTGACAACCACAAGTGGGACCAAGTCATTACTCTGCAAGACTCTGGTCTTTATCTTCGAGGTCTGAGTCAAGTCTCAGAAAAGTTCCAGGTCTTAAACTGGGAATTCAAAGTCCTTTCTGTCCTTTTTAACAAAGTTGCAATTATTTGTTAAATGTAAATAATAGATAAATCTGCATTTATCTCAAACCATGACAAAGTGTGCAACTGAAGTTACAAAGTATAAAAAGAGTAATCCTAAAATAATTCCTCTATATTTTAAAGTAAATATAGAGGAAGAAAGAAACATTCACTCAAAAATTAACTGCCTGGAGTAAATCTATTGTCAACATGCAAATGTCTTCCAGTACATGATCTGTCCTCTAAACGGACCAACGTCAACGTTGCGGTGGAGAGAAAACTGAGATAAACTCTTCATTAAGTGAAGTTTTCTGACTCTGAGCCCCGCTCACCATTCAACGGCAAACGAGCTGCAACTTATTCATGGATGAGCGCGTAGCACCGGTTTTAAAAAAGCATGACAAAGATTGCTAGAAACTCAGCGTGGCCTGGAGAACACTAGCTAATAGCACAAAGTTAGCTGAAGTCAGCTATCTCATGGTAGTAATGGAAATGACCACCTACTGTTCTTTATGCAACTTCAAATGTTGGGCAGCGTTGTTCCATCTCCATCTGTGATTCTCATCTTGCATGTTGCACTTTGTTTTTTGTTGAGTACTTTGTAGTTTATGTAACTAAAAGAAAAGTGATAAAATTAACAATATTTCAATAGTTTTACCCAAAATGAATTACTTCTGCCCAGACACAACCTCTTACTGCGAACCAGTGTGATGAATAAGAGAGCATGCTGAATTCAGCAGGTCCAATGGACAGACAAGATGCAGTCACTTCTCTGCATCTACTT